GCTTGAAAAGAAAATTTCAGAATATGTAATAGTCTTCCTATATACAATAAGTTCCACAGGACTATTCAGAGATATGGGTGAATGTGTTAATATGAACTTAGAGCATTTAACTGAAAAGATGGGAATTTTAGTGGAATTGTGAGCTAGGGTAGGGCTGAACAACAGAATGTATTGTATTGCTGATATAGAAAAGGGAATGTTTAATGTTAAAGAAGATACATTGTTTAAAGAGTGATGAATCTTTCATATGACCCTGCTTAAATTGGCAAACTTAAGACACAAATTGCAAAAGAAGAGTGTAGAAAATGACAGGTGCATTTCCTTTCATGAAGGATGAAAATTAAGTGCTCCAGCACTTAATATGAGAATTTAGTGAACCAGATTTGTAAAGGAAGTCACACGAAGACTAGCCTAGAGAGATATCCAAAGCTGAAGGAGAACTAAAATAAGCGTTACAATCTAAAATAAAATGAAACATTAAAAGCTTCAAAATAACACAAAAAATAATGTATTAAATTCAAACTTATTGCTATATAATGCTTGTGAGACCTGGAGTTTAGCAGGAGAGCTTAGATACTGTTGGCAAGTAAGTTCATGCATTTTGCTATATGTACGGATGGAAGGGAGAGAGGTGGTTTTGGGTGGTGGGTTTTTTTCGGAGTAAGAAACTTGTTGGGTGTTTATTACCTTTCCTCAGCAACTTAGCACAGCCTGTCCTGTCTTCATACTTTCTGTTGTTAGCACCGTCTGCTTCACAACAGTGCTGTTTTTCTTTGCTTTGCTCTGTTGAACAGGTGTTATATTCCACCCAAGAGTTCTGAAATCAAGTGCAAGGTGAAGTTATTTATGTCCTAACTTTGAGTCATTTAGGGAATCAAAGGCATAATAATATTTTTGATTCATTAATTTTATGATCTTCAGTTTTATGTAATTATTGCTTAGAACAATTCTTAGCATACTAAGTTTGTAAAATCAATTACTCTTCTGTTGTGAATCAACGTACAGCAGGATTGGTTTCTAGCTGGGACCATTCAATGTAGTTGTGTAGTACTCAGTGAGTTGGGGTTTTTAGTTGTAATTTTTTTTATATTTTAATGCTGATGTGGCATGATATTTAATAAAAAAGAACTGATATACAGTTAATTTGTATATTTAAATTAATAAAATCTTTATAAAATTCAAAAAATTTTGGTATGGCTATGACTGAATAATTTGGCATGATTTCATTTGAAGACAACTCTTGTGATACTTCAGAAATAAGGATCGGGGAAGCAGTTTGCCCTAAAGCCTGCCTCCTGTTACTTTAACCAAATCTCGCTGTTGATACACACCTGAGTAGTTTGCCATATTTTAATAGTAGTTAGTCTGGTTTAGACAATGCTCCTTGCTTTGCTTCTACGTACTTTTTGAGGTTAAGTTCTCCATATACAACACCAGTTCTTGAATGCAGTTGCTCGTTTTTAAGACAGTTGTTCTTAAAAGTGTTATGTAAATGAAAAAAGTGTGTATTTTGTTTAAATGCTTCTGCTTCTTAGAACTTGGGAGTTGATTTATATTTAACATGTAACTTGCTACGACCCTAAAAACAGAAGGCTGTTACCCTGTTTTCAAGTGTTATTTAGGTGTTCAGTGTTATGAATAGTTGTGCACATTATTCCTGCTTTGATTAAGATTCCAATTTAGTAATTTTAATAGATGAGCTTGAGTAAGTATGTATGGCTGTATCTATATGCTGAGTATAAATACTTTATTTATTGTATTTAAGTGTAAGTACATGACTTAAAACCTTTTTCAAAGACAGTCATGACAGAAGTTAAAGTTGACAGAGGTTGGAGGCAGGAAGATTAATATGTTGGTGTCTGTAAACTAACACAGCTTAATTATAGGTTTTAGTATTTAGTATAATTATACAATCCTCTTCACTTTCATAGTTCAAATGTGAACTAATTTATCCTCATGACACCCATCTAAAGCACATAAGTAATACTCTTTCTAAGTTTACAACCAGGGAATGGGATTCAGTCTTGGTACCAAACTGCATTGCGGAGATTAAACTCAGGTCTTCCCATGTTCCTCTCTGCATCCATCTGCTGAAGCCTCATGGTGACTGTTCAGGGCCATGCTGAACGCTGAGTGAAGCCGCCTCCCTTAGTTTGAGCCTTTAGCTCTGCCTGGTGCTGAGCCTGAGCCTTCCTGCCAGCTATTGCTAGGGCTTCATCTCACAGCTCTGAAGGCAGTTCCGTCCTGTTGCTTGTCCAGATAACTTCTTGTCTAGTCAGCGGGTCCACTGGCTTCAGAAGAAAAATAGCAGTGTAGAAATACTGTCCGTTGCCAAGAGTGATCTGTGTTTGAGTGGGAGAGGAAACGGGCTAGATCAGTTGGTGAATGTAGTGATCTTGAAAAGCTGGGAGACATGGAGACGGTCATGTTTGGACCCCAAAGCGGGAGTGACCTGGGCAGTGGAAGCCTAAGGCTTCCCCACGCAGCATCACTAGGATGTCTGGCTGCTGCTGTGGTGCAAAGTTGATTTAGGCTCATGCCTGATCGGACATGCTATCTCCATGTCTTGTTAGTCCATGGCTACTGCTGAAGACTGACAACGGTGTTGAAAGATCAGTGAAATACAATCACAGTTGGTGCTGGTTACATGTACGCTCAAATTTGTTTATACATCCTGATGAAAAATTTTGTACAAGCTAAAATTCACCATGAGTCAGACTGGTCTGTAGTACTGTGCTGAAGAGCATTGCAGAGCTTAGGCCCTCAGCTTGGTGTCTTCAGCTTTTGCAGTCTTGTAGCGGCATAGTGGCATGAACACAACACTGGTGAAAGTATAACGATGCTCAGCCTCTGGGAAAGTATATTTGGGATTATGCTGGGAGAAGAGGCCTTGGTGGGGGTAGTGCTGCTGGCCTGAGGCAGCAGGAGCCCTGTTGTTAAAGAATCTGCGGTAGCTGTTTTGAAATTTAACCTTCTAGCACAAACTGACCGATGAGCTTTTGATAAAATGTAAACAGTTATGGAAGGAATTTTGTTTTTTTCCCTAAATAGGGAAGCTTAGCTGAGGAAGCTTAGGCTATTTCTAATTCAATTTAAAAGTAGCCATACCAAGGTTATTTAAAGAAAATCTTCATTGAAGTGAGGCGTACCTGTAAGAGTATTTTGTTTATTGGTGCCTTTATATAGTTCCTCTTCTGTGTTTTAGAGCAATGAAATATTTAAACTGTTTGCAAGGTGATACTGAAAACCTGGGTCTGTGCAACAGCTGCGGTGTTTGTGCTTGTGTGGCTTGATTTCTCTTTTTATCTCATTGCAACAGAAGACCTATCAGTATGTGTGTCATGTAGCTGACTGAATTGAAAGCCCTCTAAACCTAATATACTGAACATGGAAGCACTCACAGAAGAGGTTTTTAATTCCTTGGATTTTTGTACTGTCTTGGTCTTGATCTGGGTCTTCTGAGACACTGTTATGGTGTCTTCCTGCTCTGGAAGGCAGGAGAGTTTGTTCACGTTTTCAACCACACAATTTCTTATTAATCTAAATAAGCATGTATATATACACATACACACACACACACACATATATATACACGTACACAGGTGGAAGATTATCTTTTTTTTTTTACTCTGAGCATCTAGTAGACAAGACAGCCCTCTGACCTTTTAAATCTTCATTGAATAAAGATTCCAGTATTCACTGTGACCGCTTAAAAGCTTCTCCTACGTGGCAGAGCTGCAATTATGAAAGTCTTGAATCATTTGAATAAATATTCAATTCCTATGCACCTGAAGAATTGTAGCTATCTTTACTTTCCAAGTTTTTAGGACTCCTTTGAGAAAGCAAGTTTCTACAAATCTGACTATGTAGTTTTCCTTACTTGCCAGTATCTTTTTGGCTACGTGGGTAACATGGACTCAGATTTAAGTGTTAGGTTGTGTAACACGATCCAATTTCTAATGTCTTTTCAAAACCTAACGGACAGAGAGATTACACCGTTGTGACAAGGCCCAGATCAAAATATCACATTAACTTCAGTCCTGGGTGTGCTTAAAATACTTTATATCTGGCAGGGTGATGCAGTACCTTGAGTTGTTTCCTTGGCAGTCTAGATGAGTACTTTTTCAGTCTTTTCAGTTTAAATATATTTTGAAAAATATCCAGTGGAGGTTCAGGCTTCTTCAGAAAAATACAGATTGCTAATGATGGAAGAACTTAGTTAATTTTGTCAGCCTTTAGAAGGGGCCACGTGTGCGCAATCACTGATCTCAGTTGCAAAATTTGAGTTAGAGCAGCCTGTGGCCAAAGCACAGCCTGATATAAATTTTGTCGCTTAGTTCACACTAGGCTAGTTCAGGTAGAGTTGCTCTAACTTGACTCTGTGCTGATGACATTGCCTTTGTAAAAATTCTCCTTTAGAAGCATCACAGTCTTACACAGCTGTAATTCTTATTTATGATGGAAATGCCTTTAGTGCTTTAAGACTTTCGACTTGTTTGGGGATTTTTTTTACTTTTTGTTTAGCTTTGCAGAGCCATCACAGCTCAGAGACACCGAGGTGATGATTTTCCTCATGTTTGTCAATAACAGCGCTCATTAGCAGTCACTTAAACCTGAGCAAGATTTCTGAAAGTACAGGAAATAACAGGTGTTTTGGGGAGAGTGGCTTTAACATCACAGTTCTAGAAATACTATGCAACATTTTATTTCCCTTGTAAAGGCATTCTAGTACAGAGGTTGAGATGGGAGGACAAAACAGTCACCTTGATTTTAATGTTTTGTTGTTAAATGTTGTTTATATAAATACCTTTTCATAGACTGTAATTTCTAAGTTTTTAATACTACTGAGGAGAAATTTAAGTATATTTTAAAGGATATAAATATGTCCAAAATAGGACAAAACGCAAATCCAAAACCCTTGGCAGTAGTCGTCTACCCTGGACCCATGAACCTCTCTTCTTTATATAGAACATAATGATTTCTTTTCTTGCTGTTTGCAGGTGCTCCTGACCCAACAGCAGGTGGTAGCATAGATGATGAAAACTGCTGGTATTTGGATGAGGAACAGGTCCAAGAACAGGTTAAACTCTTCCTCTCCCAGGGTGGATACCATGGATCAGGGAAGCAGCTCAATTTGCTTTTTGCGAAGGTGTGTTCACTACTCTAAACCTTCCCTTTTCTCTCTCCCCCATTCCTCACACCAGTCTGTACTCGTTCCTCTTAGCCAGAGTCCTGTCCTAACAAAAGATAAAGCCTTGGGAGCATGGTGTCAACTTAATAACGAGTAGTACAGCAGGGACCACAGTCTGATGTGTCTTGAGATCAGTCTAAGGATATGAAGTAGCATTTCAACTGTCTGCAGCTTTGCTGTTCTCTTCCCTCACCCCAAAAATGTTGGAAAAACCTTTAGAAGTTAGTCCTACATGAAGTGTCTTAGAAGAATTGCAATGGGATATGGAAACCAGAAGTTCTTAAAATTGAGAAGGCAGACTATTTTTTCTACTTAAAAATTTCAGATTGCATATACAAATTACATTTCTTATATAACAGAGGTGGAATATTTAACGCTGCAGCATACTGTTTGTATTGTGATTTCTTTGGTTTTTTCAAGTTCGTATTAAAAGATTCATTTCCTAGGTGCGAGAGATGCTAAAGATGAGAGATTCAAATGGAGCTCGCATGTTGACGTTGATAACAGACCAGTTCATGGCTGACCCTCGTCTGTCGCTTTGGAGACAACAAGGAACTACAATGACTGACAAGTATAGGCAGCTCTGGGATGAACTGGGTAAATGCACAGACTTCAAAATCATTTAGGTGTTCATAAGTATAATGAAGAAACAATTACATATTTGGAGTGGAGAGAAACTTTATTGTGACACTAGGTAAAGCAGATAAGCGTTTTCTACAGCTTTGCTTTTTTATTAAGCTTGGCTGAAATTGAATTTTTAATCTACAGCATGAGACAATTTCAGCTCGAAGAGAGGAAACATGCTATGAAACAAGTACAAATGCAACAGGTTTGTAACTACCTGGCGATCTAAAAAGAATAAAGCAAAAAGTGTACATGTAGCTATTCAACTGAGGATAAGCATATAAGCCACTGGAGCTAAACGGGCAAGGCTAAGGAAGAAATCAGTTCACAGTTGGAGAAAAATAGAAGGCAAAAAGAGAAGGTTTATTAAAATTATGAGAAAATAACAACAAAGGAAAGAAGTTTATTACTAAATAGGAAAGGCAATCAAATAATAAACAACTAACACTGCTTTACAGAAAGGTCAGCTGTGACCAGTTATATGACTTAATTGTATACTGGAGAGAGGGTCACAGGCTGAAATGGTAAGATCTGAGGACACGTGCTCTGGAGTGTTCCAGAAACTCACTATTACAATGTTTGGACTACTGTTTCAGAAGTCTAACCCTGTTAGAATTTATGGTGGGGAGAGGAAACTCAGAACACCTTGAGTGTAAATGTCACCAATAATTTAAAGGTGGGTGGAAAGAGTAATAAGTAAGCACCAGTGTTGCTTTCCTAGGTATAAGATACTGGAACAAACTATTAACAAACTACTAACCACTACATAACCACACCACTTGGTGTGCATATGTATAGAAGATACAAGTGATAAAATACAACCTGAATTATTCAAAGTCTAATCTGTTTCTCTAAAAGATAATTCACTGAGTGTATGAGTGGAGGGATTACTGTGTATATCTTAAGAGGTTAATGTATTTTAACTGTAGTAAGGTTTTAGATGCTGTCTTGGAGGCTTTCTCAGAGCAAGCTGAAGACAGCCTGAATGAAATCACCCTGTGGTTCACAGAACCTGAAGTAGTTATTTGTGCTCTTACTCAATCTGGAATGACACTTCAAGTCTAGACCTGAAGGATTCTGTCTTAGCATTAGACTTTATGAAGCACTAGCTATCTAGTTGAGATTACAGACTTCTGTGGTGAAAAGCCTTAATATCAGAGCAGGCAAAACTCTTGTCAGAGGAGTGTAGATGTAACAACTTGCCTTCAAGTGTAACAACCCTTTTAGTATGTCATTTTTATGATGCCGTGTCTTGTTGGGAATTAACGTTTTTTTTGCCAAGCAGGGCACATGCATAGCTGGACATGTATGTGGCAAAATTGTATCCCACTGAAGGGTCTCATGCTTCATTGCTTATGTGGGTTGAGCTGGTAGGTGGTGGGAAGAGGCAGAAATGTGTTGTCCATCTGTTACCTGTAGCAGTCTTACTGTATGTTGCCAATAAACAGAAAAGGTTTTGTTAAATTTTCTTAGTGGCTCCTCTTCTTGCTTCATCAATTTCATGTTATGTCATTTCCTTGACAGCATCTCTCTGAAGGTAGAGGATGTGGAATCTTTCTGCCTGCAGCGTTGAATAAGGAATATTTCAGATTAATTGCATTGGTTGGTTTACCTGTGTTTAATCAGAATTATAGGTAGCACTCCCCAAAAGCTGCAATGCAACCTCCAGCCTCGCCACTACCTTAGCTGCTGTATTGCAGTCTGAGGCAGACCGTGTTGTTTCAGTCTTGAACTGCTTTGCCACCTCTGATGTTGATCGTGTACCATGGTTTCAGTTGCAAATATTTCAGTCACTTTAGGTGTGCAGTTGGCTAAGGTTAGAACTTAATGTGGTTCCTCCACGTTTATGTTGCTAAACTGTCCATTTCTTTCCCCCACCAGTTGGATTCCTTCCACTGGTGTGTAGCATATTTCCTTAAAATCGCTGTTAATTGGATGAATCTCTCTAGCTTGACTCCTACCTTGTATGAAAGTTACAAGCTGTTGCCATGGTTTTGCTAGAATTTCACCTTGAGTTTTGCTCAAATTAAACACATCCCTTTTTCCAGGTGAAACGTATATATCTCAAACTCATGAATCTGTAAAAGTTGAAGGAGACTTTAAGGCCCGCCAGAGTTACAATAGCAAACTGAAAAAAGGAGGAGCAGGATGACCCTGGCAATGTATGATCTCTGCCAGTAATGGCAGAGAACACAGGCTTTGAGTTTAAGGGCACAATGTTATCACATTCTAAAATAATGTTGTCTTCCTGTCTTGTCATCCTGTAGGATTTTGGAGAACTAAAATATCAATAAAAGAAGTGAGACAGGCCTTTGCATACTTAATTTTCTGTATTATCTGTTCAGAATAATCTAGGATTGTCATATATGTGTGTCTTAAAGAAAAAAAATTTATCTATGAACTCCTTTATTTTAGGATGTAAAATCAGAGAATTTTAGGATGTAAAAGGTGTATAAATATAGACTCTACTTAATAAAGGCGTGCTTGCTTGCCCTGGTGTGCTGTCTGCCAACTGGTAGGCATATGGCCACTTTGTCAGTTCCATCTTGGCATAGGTTTTTAAACATACTTAAATAACTTCAGCTTTCTTCTTGGCTGGGTCCCTTGAGCCTTTCATTAGAACTTAACTGATGCTTCCTGCGTGGTGTTGGCGAGGGTACTGGAAGGACACACTGAGCTCTGATCAGAGGTCCTGCAAAAGTTCATAGTAAATTGTTGACTTCTGTTGAAGTCGGATTGGATTAGAATATTTGATAGTGCTGATTTAAAAAAAAAAAAAAAAAAACCAAACAGAAAAACCCCAAAACCCAAACCAAAATACAACTCATACCACAAAACCAGAAAAACCACTCAAAACACACAAATACTTCAAAGTGTGAACTGGCAATTTTCTAATGCAAAGTTCTAATTCCCTAAGCAATTTGTGGTTCAAAAGCCTCAAGTTAACAAAAGAGTCTTACACATAACTAGTTAGTTGTTTCTTTAAAGCCTTTAGATCAGGGGGAAGAATATAATAATTATGCTCAGCAGACTCTTCTGTAATACATCAAAGATTGAGTTGAGCTAAATGCTGCTTATGGAACTCCAAAGGTGCAGTACTGGAAAGATCAAGATTACAGGTCTGAACTATCTAAGTCTTGCTCATACACTTCTCATATTAGAAGAATTTAGATGCAACTTCAGCAGTGTGCTGGTGAATGCTTTCGACTTGCCACAGTAATCCACATTTCTACTTTCCTGAGTTTAGAGGGAGTTGAGATTCCTCACACTTTATGTTTAAATGGTATCTCAGTCGGTAAATATCGCATAATGATCTTTAAGTCTTCAACTCTTGGTGACCATGGTTGAAGACTTCAGTATAGCAGAGTGATTAATTATTTGAAGCCCCTTGGTTTGACTTTTTAAATAAATTGTGTTGGTAAAATGGAGGAATAAGGAAATGTGTAGTAAATTTCTGCTGATACCTGTTGAGTTGAGGTCTCTGATTTGAAGCAAAGGTCAGTTAACCCTCTTTGTAGTCTAGAGGGAAAAAATGGACCATTCATTACTACAGCAGTAATTTGTTGATATTCATCCATGAAAATTTAAGTAAAAGTTGCCTGTTCTCTACGAAAGTGAAAAGATTTCTTTAAAGAGTGGGGAGAACTTAACTTTGTGCCCTAGCCCAGGGATCATGATGTCTGCAAGGCTCTGTTTTGGAATTAAATGTTGAGCACTGCCAGGTGCCAGACATTGGGAAGAGGCTGAGTTTTGTTGGCAAATGGAATCTGCAAGTTAATTGGTGTTTTCTGCTGGCTTCTGGCTGTGAAATGAAATGGGAAGCCCTTTAGCCACATAGATGATACAGGACCTGAATACAAATGTCACATGTCACCATCAGGGCCCACTGTGAAACAATAGTGTTCCCACTCCAACACTGTGCCATTACAGATCATTTAAATATGGGGATTACATTTAAACTAAAAGCCCCATTTGCCTTTTACTGCAATTTAAATGTCCTCTTAGCAAAAGCTAAGTGACAAATTAAATGAAAAAAGTGCCCACATTTTTAAAGCTGTAATGCAAAACAACCTTTTATTGCTTCTCATGTGCCACGAATGAATCATTATACTTGTCAACCCTAAACCAAACCATAATTGGAGCAGCTACTGTTATCAAAGTGGGGCTGCTCTTGTGACAGCTTAATAAAGCTGAAACTGTTAAATTAAATCCCAGATGCTTAATCTGATGAAAGCAGTCAAGTAGAAGAATATAAGACAAGTATCTACTGCTTGATGGAGTGATGGAGCCCAACAGCTTGTCAACATGTAGATTACGGGATCAGATACTATTTTTTTTGTGAACTACCATTTTCAGTATCTTTATATCCTATTGCTTGCCTTCGTGGTGAAAAAACTTCACATAATTTATGTGTTTCAAAACAAACATTTCTAGTAGATTTCCTCTATTTTGATTTAAGAGCTATTTAAGGGGGAGGAGAATTGTGTTACGGTTTGGGTTTATTTTTGGGCTGCTTTTTTTTCAGTCTAGGATTAGTTTATTGTAAACTTTTTGTGTGATGGCTATGTCATGGGAAAGAGGATGTGCCCAAAGATGTCTTGCAAGGTTGGGCAGTAAATAAATTATGCCGGAGTGTCCTGAGTTTCTGTCATGTTCATCTTGGTCTCTGTTGGTCCAGGGCCTTTAAAAGTTGAAGAGAACTTAAAAGATACTCTGTACTTCCAGCTGGGTAGTCTCCAGATTTTCATGCATGTGCCTCTCCTGTCTACCTCAACCACTTGTCGGTATCTGAAGTTTTTGACTGTAGGAACCTTCTGCAATAGTGTCACAAGCCTTATTCATGGGATAAAGCTTTTCTGGGTGACTCCCTGAGAATCTTTTCTGCTATGCATGCTAAATGGATTTTTGTCGTAAAGGTGTTTCCTGAGCAAAATAACATTGTTGTGTAAGTGGCTATAGTCTCAGTAGTTTTT